ATTTTTAAAAGCACTGAAGGAGGTAGCTGTTTTAACCAGCATCCGAATGAAACCTTTGGTAAAGTGAAGAATCATTTTTTGTAATGTGAATAATTGGCATCATTAAATTCACTTTGTAAACAAGGGACACTTGTACCATGCTTAGATTCAAGCAGATGATCCATCTGCTCTTGGTTTCAGGATTCATTCATTCAGTTAGCATTTTTCATGCATTTGCTATTCATGTATTCATTCTACAAATATTTACTGAGTGCTTACCATATGCCTGGCACTGTATTAGATGCTGAAGATACGGGAATGAGCAGGAGAGGTGAAATCCTTTGCCCTCCTGAAGCTTGTACCGTAGTGGGGCAAGAGGACAATAAACACAAACAAATAAAAGTACACAATACGATCTCAAGTAGCTAGATAATGTTATGAATAAGAATTAAGCAGTCTAAGGGGAGAGAAAGGGATGGACTGCAGGGGACTGGAGTGTTGGGTGGGAGCTCCTGCTGATGGAAGAGGCAGAGAAGTCCTGGTTAAATGGGCAGAATGAGGGAGCAAGGCAGGAGAAAGACGAGGGGCAGTGTGAAGCAGAAGGAACAGCCAATGCAAAGGTCCTGAATCTGGAGCATGTTTGTGTTTGAACAATAGCAAAAAGCAAGTGCGGCTTGAGTGATCCAAGGAGAGCAGTGGGAAGACCAGCAAGGCACTAGCAAGGCCCTCAGGCATCAGCCCAAGATGCACCTTCTAGACCATGGATGGACGCATGCATGAGGCAACTGTTCTCAGTGCCAGAAGGCGAGGAATAGAAGACTTGGAATCCACAGATTTAAATTAAAAAAAAAAAAAAAAGAATCCACAGATTTCTGCCCACCGTGGAAGGGACGGTTTTCCAAATAAATTAGCATGCTGATATCTTTTTTTCTTGTATCCTCCTTATTTCATTCTTACCTTCCCTGCCGCTGTCGCCCTTCCCTCCTCCCTCTCCCTGCCTTACTTTCACCATTTCATGCATATCCGTGTTGTACCTATTGTGTCCCAGGAAATGTGCCCAGGGATCTGATGGATGCCTTGTGCCCTGGGCTTACAGGCTTAGAGACAAGTCTTCCCTTTTCCCTACACGCTCCCCATTCACATCAAAACTAGCATCTGCTGAATGAGCTTCTCCACTGGGATAACTTGGGAGTCAAACACTCAGAGGTTGGAATCTAGCTTCAACACGTACCTGCTGTACTATATTGGGGAGTGCATATGGTCTTCCTGTTGTCTCAGTTCTCTCATCTGCAAAATAGGGATAATAATACATACTTTGGTGGGATATTTTGATAATTTCTGGTTTTATTTATAAGCCAGCGATTCTTATTATTGCATTACTATTTCTGCTTGTTTCTTCCTTTACAACTGGAGCCTCAAAGTTAAAGCAAGGACAGAGTTACAAGGGTTGGTAGGAGGCTGAAACCGTCTTCTGACTCTGTCTCCTCTAATGTTCTAGAATTATAGGATATAACCCATGGGATCTGACAACCCAACGTGACCCAGCACGGAGGCAGGCTGCGAAGCTGTTTGTGCCTGTGGGAGATTGTATAATAGCCCCAACTCTCCATCCTTCCCTGTATCCACACCCTTTGCCACACAACTCTGAAGTTCCTCTCACTTAAAAAGCAGATTCTATTACTCAACCCCTTATCTTTCAATCTGGCCACGTGGTATGCTCTGGCCAACAAAGGCACGAGGTACAAGGGACCATTTTCAGTCCTAAGCCTGCACCTCAAGAGGTCCCTGCATGTTTCTGCATGACATCTTGTGCAGTTGCCACTGCCATGAGAATATGCCCGAACTAATCCCAGGAGCAGGACGGAAAATACAGGAAGCTGAGCAGTTATCCTAGCCCAGCCCGGTCTGGGTGGGCCAGGCAACCCCAGCCAACCTACAGATGAGAGCCAATAATTGTTATTTTAGGCCACTGGATGCTGGAGTCATTCATAAGCTAGTATTATCGCGGAGATATTTGACATACTATCTTAGTTTAATCGAAATATTCATTAACAATCATCAATTAATCAAACGTATTTATCGGACTTCTGTAGTTAATACACACCGGGTTCTGAGGATACAGGCATAATAAATCAGAAGGATATCATCCCTGCCCTTGGGGAACTTAGATGAGGGAGGAAAACAAAGAAAGGCTGCTGCTCAGAGTTGAAAAGGGTCTGTTTCAGAGAAAGGGGGTGGCCTGGAGTCAGGGTTTAGCCTGAGAAGATTGACTACTCCTAGCGGTGGGAAGGGGAACTTCATCAAGGAGACGCTCTCCCTGTCCCTGAGAGTAGGACTTTAAAACCCTAGAACCTTAGCTCTGAAAGGATCCTCCCCTGAACTTATCTTGGGTGAGCTCTCATTTACAGCTAGCCTCAGAGAAAGGGAATGACTTACTCAGGGCGACTCAAGGAATTTGTGGCAAATCTAGGACATGAACCCAGCGCATCCGTCCCCAGGGTTGGCACGTCTAATACGACCTCCGATGGGTCTTACGGTGTCAGTAAACTTTGAACCGCCATCAAATTCTTGGCCAGAAGTTTTATTACTAACACCACTGAAAATAAGATCAATCTCCACGATTATTATAATTCATAATTTTAACAGGCCTCCTTTCTTGCTCGGGGCATTTAAGGTATGCTAAGAACCAGACCTCATAATTAATAACAGTAATTAATACCTTTCATTGATTGAGCCTCCTCTCTAAGCACAGTTTCGATGGCTTTAGATATGTGGGCACATTTAATCCCTGCAACAACGTACGCACAGATAATAAGCCCCATTTTACAGAACTGGAAACTGAATCTTACGGAGATAAATTCTTTTTTTTTTTTTTTAATTTATTTATGATAGTCACAGAGAGAGAGAGAGAGGCAGAGACACAGGCAGAGGGAGAAGCAGGCTCCATGCACCGGAAGCCCGACATGGGATTCGATCCCGGGTCTCCAGGATCACGCCCTGGGCCAAAGGCAGGCGCCAAACCGCTGCACCACCCAGGGATCCCAAATTCTTTACCCAAAGTCCCACAGTTACTAAGAGGCAGAACCGGGAATCAGACACAGACCAAAGGCCTGTGGTTTTTCTACTCTTCTCTGCAGACCCAGCTGTGGAAACCTTTATGTGAACTGTTGGTTCACAAATGGCATTCCTTCCTGTTCCATCCTTCGCAGAGCTTTCCCTCTGCCTAGAGAAGGCACGATTGGGGCCCACCCCAACGTGATAAAACCATCTCCCTGCTTGGATCTTGCCCCATTTTTAACACCTTATACCAAAGGATGCCTCTGGAGCGGGAAGCTTTGAGAAGACCTGGGGGAGCCTGAAGCTTCTAAGTGGAAACAAGGAACTGACTCACCAGGGCCTGGTTATCTTCAGAGTCTGAGGAGAGGCGCATCAAAGGGATGAGAGCCTGGTACCTTTGATGAAGGAACCAACAGGAAATTATTAGCCTCATGCTGACAAGGACAAAGACAAGAAAAGGGCCATTTGGGTCTCATCTCTGTCTGGACTGGAAGAGGCAGGAAGCCTAAGGGGCTGTTTAATCTTGGCTCCAGAGCGATGTGAACCCTGGCTTCCTCCCTTGAAGAACAAGGTGAAGGAAAGGTGAGGCAAGTTAAGATAAACACCCAAACTTCTGGCTGCCTGGATGAACTGAATCTTTTAATTTAAGCTGTCAGTGGGTTCTTTCTTCTCTGTCTTTTCCTTTTTTAATCTAAACTGTAATCACACAATACTCCACCCAAGTGCTTGATATGGATTTCTAAGACAGATCCTAACATAGTCATAAAAAAAAATCCCCTCTGAAATGTGCACTTTGTACTGTGTCTATGTGTAGGTGTGTTTAAAATGTCACGAACTGGAATACCTAACTCTAGTTCCCAGGAATTAATCACTTAGAAGAGTGAAAGGGGGAAATTAACTTGCTTTAACACTCACAAGACTCTCCAAAGCAGGCGCCAAAATAGAACTTATTGAATAGACGTATGGTTATCTTTCTATAAGAACTAAAACTCTTACAAAAAAAAAAAAAAAGAAAATATTTTTTCTTATCTAAAATTGCATTGTAAAATTTTCCTAAGTTACTTGGGCTCAACTGCAGGTCACAGACTCTCACAGATTCCTCATAGGGAATAAAGGTATAGCAGTTTTTTTTTTGGGGGGGGGGCAAGGAGGTGGCCTTTTTTAAAGTTACAACTCAATGAATTTTAGTTAAATGTGTAAATTTGTGCAACCACCACCACCATCTGATTTTAGAACATTTCAACACCAAACAAAGTTCCCTCATGCCCATCTGTAGTCAATTCCTATTCATACACTGAGCCAGGACCATCACTGATCCGCTTTCTGTCTCTACAAATTTGCATTTTCTGGACATTTATATGAAGGAATCATGCAGTATGTGGCTTTGTATCTGCTTTTAGCATGTTCTCAAGGTTCATTCATAACGTAACGTGCATCAGTGTTTCTTTTCTTTTTAATGGTGAATACTACTCCATTTGGTGGATATACCACATTTGTTTTCTTGGCAATTGAGGGACATATAGGTCATTTCCAAAGCTTGGCTATTATGGACACTCTAGCTACGAACTTCCAGATGCATGTCTTTGTGTGGATGTGTTTCCCGCTCTCTTGAGTAGAATCAGAGGCACAGAATCGATGGATTGTGCAAAGGGACATCGAGCAGGACCAGACACTAGGCCTCCTCTGATTCAGATATGCTGTGTCCGTGAAAATCTGCCAAAGGATTCTTAACTTATCCTTGAAATCAGCTGATGCTATCTTTCATGGGTGGGAGGGCCTAAAAGAAGTCCCAAACAACAACAGCAACAACAACAACAAACAGAAAACAACTGCTCTCATTTGATGAATTCTGAACAGAAAGCGGGGGGCCGGTCCCAGCTACTACCCCTCCACTGGCGCCCCGGTGCCGTCCGCGGCCAGGCCTGCAGAGCGGAGCCCCTGAAATCTTTCTGGAGGATCAGGACATGCGCTCGGCATCGCAGGGGCTGGACGGCTTCAGCTCCCTGTGCGCCCGCGAGGAGGGGAGGCGCGCGCCCAGGCGGCCGGGCCACCAGGCAGCTCTGCGGGACAGAGTCCTCGGGGCTCCGCGCACCTGCCGGGCAGCGCGCGCCCCACCCCCGCCGCGGGCGGCCCGGGGCACCCCCAGCATCCAGGCCTCGGGGCGCGGGACTGGCGGGGGGGGGCAGCACCAAGGGGTGAGAGGCAGCGAGAGTGCGGAGGCCGCAGAGGCGGGGGTGGGGGCCGGGGCCCCGAGGCCGGTCCCCTGGAGGCCTTGGGGCGGGGCGCTGGCGGCGCAGGGGCCTGGCGCAGGGACGCGCGGTCCAGAGGCCGGGGCCACTCCGAGGGCGCCGGGAGCGGGGAGCGGGGAGCGGGCGTGGGGGGGCGTCGACGGCGGGCGCGCGGGGAGAGAGGCGGGCGCCCCCAGGGCCTCCCCGCGCACCCCGAGGCCCCCGCGCACCCCGAGGCCCTCCCCCAGCCCTGAGGGCCTCCCCGCGCACCCCGAGGGCCTCCCCGCGCACCCCGAGGGCCTCCCCGCGCACCCCGAGCGACCCCTCCGAGCCTCGCGCGCCGTTGCCCCGCGTGCTGCCCCGCGTGTGCCCCGGCCCCGGCTGGACGGGGAGCAGCGCCCCGGGGCCCCGCCCGGCCTCCCGCCCCTCGCCCTGTCGCGGGCGGTCCGGAGGGGCGGGAGCTTCCCCACTCGTCCTCCCCGGCCCTGGGGTCCGCCGGCCCGCCACCCCGGCCCGCCCCCCCGTCCCCCCCCCCCCGGGCCCGCTCGCCTCCTCCCCGCGGGCCCGGCCCCGCCTGCCCCCATCCCGGTCCGTGCCTCCCGGAGGGCCAGCGCCCCGTCATCCCCTTGCTTCTTCGCCGTCCTTCGCCCCTCCTTCGTGCGCCGCCCCGCGCCCCGAGACCTGGTCCAGCCCGGGGTCCCCGCAGGTCCCGGTGCCCCCCCAGCCCCGCCGGGGTGCGCTGCGCACGGCTCCCGGGGCCACGAGCGGGCGCCCAGTGCGCGGGGGATTCCGAGGCCCGACCCCGCCGCCCTGTCGGGTCCGCCCGAGGGACGGAGGCGGGGGCCGGGGCGAGGCTGCCCGGTTCCCGCAGGCCGCGGTGCGTGCGCGGCGGGGGCCCGAGGGGCGAGTGAGGCCGCCTGCGGGGCCGCTGGACCTGCCCGCGGGGGGCCGGCGCCCTGGGGGCCCCCGGGCCGAGGCGGGGCGGGGCGGGGGCAGGGGCCCGAGGCGCGGCGCGAGTCCGAGGTGCGGGTCCCCGGGTTCTCCGCCGCGCCCCGAGCAGAGTTTGCGGGAACTGGGGGTGCGCGGGGCCGAGGCCGGCGTGGAGCGCTCTCGGGGCGGGGGGCGCGGGGGGCGCGGGGGGCGCGGCCGCTCCAGGTCCCCCGCAGCGCAGCGCCCAGGCCTCCCGGCGAGGCCCCGGCCGGGCCAGCGGGAGCCGGAGCCGATCGGGCGACGCAGGAGGGGCTCCCGCGCCCGCCCGGCTTCCCTCCGCCGCCCGCCGCGATTGGCTGCGCGTCCCCGGAGCCAACTTCGGCCGCCGCAGACTGTGCGAGCCCGGGGGGCCGGGGCGGGGGGCCGGGGCGGGGGGCCGGGGCGGCCTCGGGCCCGCGGGAGGGGCGGCGAGCGGGGGCCCCCGCAGCCCGGCCGGGCCCAGCTCGCGGCGCCGGGGCCTGGGCTCCTCTCCGCCCTCCCCTCCGCGCCCCTCCCCGCCGCTCCCGCCCCTCCCGGCGGCCTCCCCTCCCCTCCCCTCCCCTCCGCTCCCCTCCCCTCCCCCTCCCCCGCCCCGCCCGCCGCCTCCCCCCGGCTTCTCATTCCTGCCACTGGCGCGCTCGGCGGCTCAGTCCGCGGCCGCCGCCAGCCGAGGGGAGCGCGGCGCGCAGATGCCGCGGGGGCCGCTCGCAGCCGCCGCCGACTTGGGACCGGGCCCCGGGCCGCGGCCGGGCTGACCCCGCGCCCCCGCCGGGCCCTCCGCCGGCCGCGCCGACCCACGGCCCCAGGTGAGGCTCGCCGCCCGCGCTCCCCGCCCCGGATGGGGCCCTCCGGCCGGGGGCACCGGGGAGCTCCCACTAATGCGGCGCACCGGGCGCGCGGGGGGCGCCGAGGCACGGGAAGGTTTGCTGGGGGACGCGGCCGGGGAGGAGCAGGCGCCAGAGGTGCGCTCCAGCCTCCCCGCGGGGCCGCCCGGGTCGGGCCGAGGCGGCGGGAGGGCGGGGACCGCAGAGCTGCGCCCCCCACGCGCCGGCCGCCCGCGGTCGGGTCTCCGGGGAAAGTCGCCCCCGGCGGGGCCGGCCCGCTCGCCCGCGGCGCCTCCTCCCGAAAGCGGCGACGCGAGCGCGCTCCGCAGGGCTCCGGCCCCTTGCCGGGTCCCTGCTCCCTGCGCCTCCCGGGGAGCCTGCGTCTACCCGGGTCCCTGCTCCTCCCCGGGGTCCCTGCTCCTCCCCAGGGTCCCTGCTCCTCCCGGGGCTCCTGCCCCTCCCCGGGGTCCCTGCCCCTCCCCGGGGTCCCTGCCCCTTCCAGGGGCTCCTGCCTCTACCCAAGTCGCTGTTCCTCCCGGGGTCCCTGCCCCTTCTCCCGGGTCCCTGCTCCTCCCCGGAGTCTCTGCCCCTTCCCGGGCCCCTGCCCCTCCCAGGAGTCCTACCCCTCCCTGGGGTCCCTGCCCCTTCCCAGGGCTCCTGCCCCTCCCCGGGTCCCTGCCCCTTCCCAGGGCTCCTGCTCCTCCCCGGGTCCCTGTCCCTCCCTCGGGTCTCTGCCCCTCCTCCGGGTCCCTGCCCCTTCCCAGGGCTCCTGCCCCTTCCCGAGGTCCCTTCCCGAGGTCCCTTCCCTTCCCGGATCCCTGCCCCTCCCCGGATCCCTGTCCCTCCCCGGATCCCTGCCCCTCCCCGGGTTCCTGCCCCCTCCCAGGTCCCTTCCCCTCCCCAAGTCCCTGCCCCTCCCGGGGTCCCTGCCCCCTGCGCCCCCCGCCCCCGGCGAGGCCGGGCGCGCGGAGACCTCGGGGCCGGGACTGCGGGCTGCGGGCTGCGGGCTGCGGGGCGCGCTGGGGCCCGGGCGCGGTGGGCTCGGAGCCCGGGGCCCCGCGGGGAGGTGGGCGGGCGGCGCGGACCGGGTCCCGCTCCCCCGCGCTGGCACCGCCGGCGGCTCCGGGAACTTTGCGCCCCGCGCCGCCCCCCGCCCCCCGGCCGCCCGCGCCCCTGGTCGGCGGAGCCCGGGAGCGCCAGCCGCGGGGTGCGGAGGGCGGCGGGAGGCGCCCCTTTCCCGCTCCGGCCGGGCAGGGCTTAGGAGGGCCCGCCTCGCCCCAGAGGCAGAGCCCCAGGGAGGGCGGGCTGGCGCCCCTGGTCCCCCCAAGGCCGCGCGGTGGCCGGGGCGGGAGGCGTGTTGGGGAGGGTGCCCCGCGCGCCCCCCGCTCCGGGTAAAGGCTTTCTAGGGGCCGGAAAGCCCTGTTGCTTCGGCTGGTAACGCAGCGGGAATTCCATGGGCCGTGGCACTGCTCTTAAGAAATCGCCTCCTTCAAGCATCTGCTAACGCCCTGGGTGCCGGCGAGGGGCCCCGGGGACGGGGAGGGGGCGCCCCGGGACGCCCGAGGAGGGGGCGCGGGCCCGTGCGGAGCCTCCCCTCCTGTTTTCCCCCAAAGACATCTCGCCGGGCGGCTGCGAATCCCTCCTCGCTTTCCTCCCCGGATCCCTCCGATCAGGTTCATCTGAGGCAGGGGGAAGTTTTCGGTTTAATCACAGGGAAGACACGATAATGAATCTGGCAGGAGGATGGATCGATCATCCCCGGGGCTCGCGGCGGCGGACATCGATGGCTTTGCGGGGTGTCTGGCCCCGGGGGGCGGGGGCGCTGGGAGTGTTCTCCGGAGCGAGGACCCACCCGCCGCCGGGCAGGGCTCGCAGCGCGGGGGCCTCCGCCGTGGGAGGAGGAGAAAGGGGCCGGCCTTCCTCTCCTTAGTCCTGGGATTATTCTTCCTATAAACGGGAGATGCAGACAGCGGAGCGCAGAAGTGGCCCCAGCCCGACCCTAGCTGCAGGGAGCCTGGTCTTCCTCCAGCAGAACAAAGGAGTAAAAGTTGCAAAACAAAGGGACAGAGCTGTGGTCACTACCAGAGGGACCCGAAGCTCCTGGGCACTAACGTTCGCCACTCCTGAGCTCTAGCTGTTTAGACTTGGCCAGTGGGCCCGGGAATTGGAACCTCCGTGCAAAACTGAAATCCTGCCTGGTACAAAGAAATGTGAGTAGTTTTTCCAGGTATAGACCAGAGAAGGGCGTAGGAGAGGCCAGGAAACTTTGCTTGAGTGAGAATGGGCTTGACATCTTACTTCTGAGACGGTGCAAATTAATGTGTTAAAAATGTGTTGCAGCCGGGCTTTATTGCTAATGACAATCGTTGCTGTCATTTTTGTTGTCGTTTCAGAGTCTGCATAAACTGGCTATTTTATTGCATTGTTTGAGAACAGGGAACCCCCCTCCCCCCCCCCCCGACCCTGCCCCACCCCTGGGGTAAGGGATGGCAAGGGAGAATGAAGAGAACTGAGATAGGATCATCTGTTGAGGCCCAAACATGTAGATTGACTCAAACTGGGCTTATTGCTTACTAGAAAAAAAAAAAGGGGCTTTTAAAATAGTTTTAATGGAAGCAGTGGACCATCTTGATAGCACTTCAGAACTTCCATTATGTTCAGCAATCTTATCAAAACGGCAGACAGTAAAATTACTAGACACCTAAATTCTATTTTCAATTAAGATGCGATCTTTTGTTAATTTGAGAATTTAAAAAAAAAAAGTCACGGCTCTATTTTCTTATGACCCAGAACTCTTGTTTGCTCTTTGCAGGGGTGGCTGTGGCTGTGGCTGTTTGTTTGCTTGTGCGAGGAGAGGGGGACAGGGTCGGAGAGCCATGCCCTGATTTGGGGGCATACAGACCAATTTCATGCTCCTTTAATGCACTTGTCTTCATAATTCATGGTTTTTCTTCCACTTTGAATAGAATTACATGGCTGCCTTGTAAAGATTCTGGTTTGGGGGACCCTCGTATGGGAAACGCCATGACTTTGACCTCAAGGCTTGATTTACAACGCGGAGCCAGACTCCCATGAGCTTATGTGTCTCGGGGCCTTGCCCGCGAACGTCTGTGACTTACGAAGTTGACAGTTCACACACACTTTGATCTGTGATATTCAAATCTATTTTCAGAACCGTCTGAGGGAGACCTACAGACCTCATTCTAGTTTTCCTCCATTTTCAATGCATCTGTGTGGGCACATGTTCAGGAAGCATAACCGTTGTGTTTGCTTATTTTCAATATTTTGCATTCACCTTGCTCATGAGCATATCTAACCGCTAATAGTGATAAAATAACCCTGGTCTGTGGAGTTTGAAAGTCGGTAGGAAACGTTTCCTCTTAAACTTCCAGGTGTTTGCAGAATGACTGTAAACGCCCGAGTCCTTTTCCTAGAAAATCTGGGCCCATGACTTAAGGGACCGAGGTATGTTTGGGGTGGGTGTTCCCTCTGGTGGAAGTGGCCATGGTTCCAGAGAAAGCTACCTGGTTCGTCGAGAGCCCCCGTTCTGGATGTGCCAGGCGTCTCATCCTTTCCAATCCAATGTCATCGCCCCTAAAATACGTAAAGATCTTCGGTCTGTGTGGGCTCGGGGACAGACATCAACAGGTATGTTAAAAAGGAAAAGTAAAGCTGGAGAAAGTGCGACGGGTTTAGGCACAGCAGTAGAACCACGCGTCCGAGGGGGTTCGGGGGGACCACGGTGATAGGCCCCGAGCCCCCCTGTGCGCAGGGACAGCCACCGGGCCTGTGGCGGCTGCGATTTCCCGGTGGCCGGGCCCTGGGCGCTCGGGCAGGGGCTCCTCGGTGGAAGCTGGCGCTGCAGCCACCAGAGGGCAGTGGCACCCTTCTCCCCGGGCTGCGGGGGCCCAGCTGCCGCGCTGGGCACCATGAAAAGCGGTTTTGTTGCCACCAGCCTTGTCTGGGCCTCTCCGGGGAGACCGGATCCCGGCTCGCCCTGGTCCAGGCTGCCGCCGGCGCCGTGTCAGGCCCAGCATCTTTCTGGTCGTGGGGCCCTTACCTCCAGCCTCCTCTCGCCTTCCTGGACTTTACTAGAAAGTTGGAGAATCTTGAGTGTCTGGGCAGGAGGTGCGTGGGACAAGGTCAGCTCTCACTAAGGCAGCGATCTGGGAGGATTTTCCGGCTTTTTTTTTAAGTCCCTGCCAGGAAGAGCATCGTTTGAGACTCTGAAGGAAAACGAATGCATAAAGAAGAGAAATATTAGTAAGATTGCTGCGGTATCGTTGCCTGTTCTCTCAAGAGGTCTTGAAGACGTCTGCAAGACATTTCCCATTTGCAAAAAAAAAAAAAAAAGAAAAGAAAGAAAAGCACTTTGATCTTTGGTAAACACTTTGGGGCATGCAGTTTTAATACAACTGCCAATGTTTTACTATTATCTTTAAACCGTTCTTGATCTTGCTGCAAAAAAAAACCCAAATTGAGCAGAGAGCGAAATTTAATTCAAGATTGGTCCTCACGCACTGGAGTTTAATCATTTGACTTTTTTTTTTCCCCCTCCGTGATACGGAAATTACTGCTTATGATTAAATTGCATATTTCAGGCTGCACAGATTTATATTTGTTACTGTTTGATAGTGTCATTATGAAAGTTCAGAAGAATAATGTGAAAAAAGAAAACCACTAACGCTATATTATAATTAAGAGGCAAGCTCTATTTAAAAAAAATAAGTACTGTCTTAAGTGGATTTTTATTTGTATTTTTTTTTTTTTAACTGAATACAATTTGCTTCCCTGGTGAGTCAGCAGCGCAGTTCCAGTGCAGCTCTGAGTGTGCTGGAATGCAAAGGCCGTTGATGAAGAAGGAATCAATGCAAATGGATTATGGGAAGGAGTATTAAGTAACTCAGTGGAAAGTAAGACAAAGTGTTTTGTAAACCGATGCTCACTCACCACTGGACAGTTTATTTAACTCAAAAAAGAAAAAAA